CGGACCATTCCGTAACTCCTGGTGACGTTCGGGATCTCATCCGAGACTCCGAACAACCTTCGGCAACCACATACTATTCCCATAACAACTCTAGCGTTACCGAACCTTAAGTGTGTAGACCCTACGGGTTCGGGAACCATGCAGACATGACCGAGACATCTCTCCGGCCAATAACCAATAGCAGGATCTGGATACCCATATTGGCTCCCACACGTTCCAGGATGATCTCATCGGATGAACCACGATGTCGGGGATTCAATCAATCCCGTATACAATTCCCTTTGTCTATCGGTATGTTATTTGCCCGAGATTCGATCGTAGGTATCCCTATACCTTGTTCAATCTCGTTACCGGAAGGTCTCTTTACTCATTCTGTAACGCATGATCCTGTGGCTAACTCATTAGTCACATTGAGCTCATTATGATGATGCATTACCGAGTGGGCCCAGATATACCTCTCCGTCATATGGAGTGACAAATCTCAGTCTCAATTTGTGCCAACCCAACAGACACTTTCAGATATACCTGCAGTGCACCTTTATAGCCACCCAGATACGTTGTGACGTTTGGTACACCCAAAGCATTCCTACGGTATCCGGGAGTTGCACAATCTCATGGTCTAAGGAAATGATACTTGACATTAGAAAAGCTTTAGCAAACGAACTACACGATCTTGTGCTACGCTTAGGATTGGGTCTTGTCCATCACATCATTCTCCTAATGATGTGATCCCGTTATCAACGACATCCAATGTCCATGGTCAGGAAACCATAACCATCTATTGATCAACGAGCTAGTCAACTAGAGGCTTACTAGGGACATGTTGTGGTCTATGTATTCACACATGTATTACGGTTTCCGGTTAATACAATTATAGCATGAACAATAGACAATTATCATGAACAAGGAAATATAATAATAACCATTTTATTATTGCCTCTAGGGCATATTTCCAACAGGACACACTCTCCCCTTCTCGTTGGTATGCATCTCCTAGATAGATCTTGCGTGAGTGTAGGAATTTTTTTGAAATTGCATGCTACGTTCCCCAACACAAACTCCCTGGTCTCCATCAATGCTTTAATCTCGGGTACGTGATGCTCGTACGCTTATTGTGAGGGGTCATCATTAGACAAATTTGACAGCACCACCGATGAATCAGATTGGACCAGGACCGGCATATCTGAATGTTGGTTGGTATAGGATATAAAGTATGGTTGGATGGTATAGGATACAAAGTATGTTTAGAGGGGGTGATTAGACTACTTGATTAGATAAAAGCTTATCATTTTCCCAGTTTTAGTTGTAGGCGAGTTTTAGCAATTTTATCAAGTCAAAAGCAACACCCTACACATGCAAGTCTAAGAGTTGAGCAATGGAAAGTAAATACTTTGCATATGAACGTAAAGGAGGGATCAGAGAAATCAAATGCAATGAAGAGATGGTGATTTTTGGCGTGGTTCCGATAGGTGGTAATCCACGTTGATGGAGACTTCGCCCACAGAGGGTAATGGTTGCGCGAATCCACGCAGGGCTCCACCCATGAAGGTTCCACGAATAAGTAACCTTGTCTATTCCATCATGGCTCACGCCCACGAAGTACTCGCCTCACTCGGGGTAGATCTTCACAAAGTAGGCTATCTCCTTGCTCTTACAAACTACTTGGTTCAACTCCACATGATCTTGGAGGCTCCCAAGTGACACCTAACCAATCTAGGAGACACCTCTCTCCAAAAGGTAATAGATGGTGTGTTGATGATGAACTCATTGCTCTTGTGCTTCAAAATATAGTCTCCTCAACACTCGATCACTCTCTCATAGATTTGGCTTGGGTAGAAGAAGGATTGGAGTGGGAGGCAACTTGGGGAGACTATAAATCAAGGTTCAAATGGTTGGATTGGAATGCCTTTATCTCAACACAAGTGTCGGTGGTTCTCTCTCAAAAAATAAATGGTGGAAGTGTAATTTTGTTCTGATGGCTCTCTTAGAGAGTGAGTGGGGGTGGAGGTGTATATGTAGCCAGCACCAAAAATCCAACCATTACAAACTTTATACACAACTTGGTGGCATCAAAATGAAATCTTGGTGGAACCGAACAATGCAAAAGATTCGAATGTTAGGCTTTTCAGTGAGACCAAATGGATCCACCTCAGACGAACCAATTTGCGATGACCTAAGCAAAACCTCATTTCGTAGTTTCGATCAATTCATCTCGGTAATTCCAAAATGGGATTGATGGGTTACAGAAACTTGGTCACTACACTTTGGTAGGACCGAATGTCATCTCGGTTCTACCGAGTTTCTAGGGTTTGGGTGTGGCTCTGTCTAGGTTGAACTCGGTGGGTCCGTATGTGAAGGTTTCGGTGGGACTGAGTTTAACATTTAGGGCTTCGAAAGATTGGAATGTGGGAAAGTGGCTAAGGGTTTTGGAGCAATATCTTCAAGCAGTTTGAGCAATTAAGTCATGATCAAAACCTCATCCCCTTTTGATAATATTGGATTTTCTATGGACTCAATGTGATCTTGGATCACTCAACCAAAAATGAAGAGTCTTGAAGCTTTTGCCAATGTGTTTCCTTAGCACTTTGATGGTCCAAATCCACCATGCCAGCATTGAGTATCTTTGAGTAGGCATTAGTTCAATGATATATGTGTTGTTATTAATTATCAAAACCATCCGGGGATTAGTTCCACTTTCAGATGGCTAGTGTCATTCCTTGCATTAATGCATGTACTTTAGCCTCGGCTTTGTTGCAATTGAAGATTACTCGATAGGCCCAAAGATGATAGAACCATCGCCACGACACAAAACCATGCCAGTTGCTGCAACTCCATCATGCTCTGAATATGATCCATCCACCGAGAGCACCACCCACCCGGATTTCTAAAACTGGACTATTTTGTACTTTTCACCGTTTTCTACGCGTTTCTTCATGTTATTTCTTTTCTATTGATTTTTGTGTTTATTTTTTTCCTTTTTTATTCAAACTTTTTATTATAAATGCATCAACAATTTTTAGTTGAGATTTTCCAATATGCACAATCATTTCTTAAAATTTGATAATATTTTTAAAAACATAATCTTCTTAAAAATATTGGAACATTTTTGGAAATGAGTTTTTTTAATCAAGAACTTTTCAAAAATACAAACATTTTTTATTACTCGTAATTTTTAAATCTAAATTATTTCTTAAAATTGAGGAACTTATTTTAAAGTTTGTGAGCATTTCTTTTTTTCATCCTCATTTTTTGAATTTCATTATTTTTTTCATCCTATCTGGTGTAGTCAATTTTTTTGGAGAATACTAGAAGAAAATCACTATTGTCCAAATTGCTAAGGAAGCTAGGCTGCTGCTTTAATTTGATTGCTCGATAATTCGTCGTGGCGAGTGTCAAATAAGAGGTACCCTAGAGGTGGACAAAGAAACTGCATGGAATGCCTTATTCTACACTAGTTCAAAATAGTAACTCGCCAGTTTTAACTTTTTGATTTTTTTTTAATTCAAAACTTTCTAATAGAAACGTCTAAAATAAAATAATCCGGCTGATAAAGTGACCGGAAAAAAATACTGAGCCCACGAAGGGATACGTAGCAGCCGCACGCAGCGTGTGATAGGGATATCTTACATATACCTAAATAGTTGACTGTAGCTATTTTGATTTCTCTCAACACACACAAGCCACCTCATTATTTATTTCCTTTTTCTTATTTCTTAAGTTGCATGCTCTGCCTATTATTCTTCCTATCCATGCGCCACATCAATAAGCCATGCATGTTTGCCACGTCATCAACATGTCATTTCATCATGAGCAGTAAAATTTTCCTTTCAGCATAACTAATCCTTACATTTTATCCATGTCACGAGGCTATCTGTTTTAGCATGTGTTTCCGCTGCAACGCACGGACCATTTTCTAGTTCCACCCACAATAAAAGCTCCCGAGGTGCATGACAAAATCAACGCGGCATCGATCGGCACTGTACAGTTACGTGCACAAGAGGAGGTTTCGTGACACCATGATACGTTGCTGTTGTGCAGTGTAGAATCTATGGCCTGTTCAGCCGCAAATGGAATGGGGAATTTGCGCGTCCGGGTGCCATGCCATGCCCCTCTCTTTATCAAAGTCATGATGACGCCTTGTGCGGTTGTGCCTTTGGTGCAACGGCCCCGTGACCGACCAGCAGCCCCCCGGAGCGCGCGAGCCTGCGGGCCGCTCGATCCGCGGCAGGGACATTTGCAGGACTGTAGCGCAGTCCCGTCTTTTACCTACGCCCGTGCCGTGGGATCGGCAGCTGAACGGTTGCGGTTTTGCTGTTCTGGTCAGTTTCTGCAGACAAGGAATTAACTCAGTTCTTCTGGAAACAAGACGCCTGCCGATCGACCTTCGCCTACCAACAGAGGTTTCATTTCAGTGAAACCCGTGGGCTCCAAACACCTTTATTTTTACTTTCACAGCTGATGAGGGTGGGAGATGTTTTGCAGTTGACACTGTTTATTTGTTATGATACTGCTTACACCTGACAGATTTAACAATTTCAGTATGTTTAGCACCGGTTACTGCACGAGTGAATCTTCAGAAACATCCTCTCATAAGATAGGAAGGAAGATGATAATGCTTGACGATAGGAGTGTGTATAATTTGCGCAGCTAGCTCATGCATACACTACATATTCCCACCGTCATGCATGTCTCTATGCATGCATAGCGGGTACGTGCCTCCGGCTGTACACATCGTAGCATACAAAACTATATGTGGTGTAGCTAATCAGAAGTTTCCTCTTTGGCACACGGACAAGCATGATATATATACTTATAATGACATATATAATTCCTACAATATATATTTACACGTAACACATGTAAATACTAGCACAGTAGTATACCCTAGGAAACGTACATGAGGTAATTATTCCATCATCAGCTAGGAGTATATAATTTCAGGAAGCCAACTACTAGATCAAGCCATACATACACCTACCCAAATACCCCCAACCAGTAACTCAGGGAACCCAGTGGAGCTGCATGCCGGTGTTCGCAGAGAAGCTGTCGACGGACGAAACACTGGCCGCCGACGTGGACGAGGACCCGAGGATGGCGTCCATGAAGTCCGCCACCGGACCCATGCCCGGATCGGCGGCGAAAGCGCCGGCGCCCTTTGGCTCGGCGAACACCGGGAGGCAGCTCCGATCAGCCCCGCCTTCTTGAGCCAAGAGGCTAGAGGCGCCGTTCTCCGGGCAAGCATTGGCCGCCGCGTGGCACAGCCTGATGAACTCCCCGTCGACGGTGTACTGGAGGTCGCAGCCGGGGACGGCGCCGTGGACGGGGAGGAGCAGCGGCTGGGAGGTGAAATTGAGCCATGCCGCGGAGGATGGAGGGGACTGCGTGGCCACAGCTTGAGCCGCATTGTCCAGCGCGTTGAGCGACGCGCACCCCGCAGCTGCGATGCCTTGCCCCGCCCCATCCAGAATGTTGTAGTACAAATCTGTACCAAAAACGACATTGTAACTCCGAGTTAGTGCGTACGGTAAGTACTGGTGTACCACTATACATGTTTGGTGTCAGATTAGACGGTTCTTTTGGAAGAGAAAATTAACTAGTAGCTCTGCAAGCAATTTCGTACGTACTGGAGTAGTTACTAGTACATGATCTACTACCAGTTACCTGCAGAGGAAGGGATGTTACCGTAGTGGAGGCTGCCCACGGCCTGCGATATGAGCTTCTTCTTGATGGTGGAGTTCCAGAAGTTCTTCACCTCATTGTCCGTTCTGCCAGGCAGGTGCTTGGCTATCTGGGCCCACCTGCAGCGCAGCAAAGCACAGCGCACAGCACACATTTTGGCATTAGCTCAATCTGCTGCCATTTGTGTCCCTTTCATTCCTTTTCTCGAGCAAGCTAGCTAATGTGATTTCAAACTACTCGCTTTGCGTGTAGGCCATGCAGACGCACAGATAAGTGACTGTCATGTGTGCAGGGGAATGAAGTTACAGCAGCTATGCAGAGGTGATTTGCATGTAGGGTAGGGGCAAGCACCATGCATGCATTCAAGCTGGAGCAGGAGGATGTTTACCTGTTCCCTAGCACCCTGTGGAGGTCGATGATGAGGGCTTCCTCCTCCTGCGAGAAGCTCCCCCTCTTGAGGTCCGGCCTCAGGTAGTTGATCCACCTCAGCCTGCAGCTCTTGCCACACCTCTGCAGCCCTGCGCGCATGAATGAAGATGAACACATACATATTCAGCAATGCAGAAAGTGAGTGGTCAAGAACACAGCCAGCTAGCTGGTGGAACTGAAGCAGCAGAGGTCGAATCCGCAGGCCCCCGCACCTACCAGCTTGTCTTGGGACTGAGCTCCAGCAGCCATGGCCATGCGCGGTGATGTACTTGACGAGCTTCTCGTCTTCCTCCGGCGACCACAGGCCCCTCCTCACCTTCTGCTTGTTGCAGCAGGAGTGGTGCCCCATCTCCTCTCTCCTCACTCAACTACTACTTCACAGTTCACACTCACCGCAGGCTGCACTGGTTATAAAGAAGATGAGATGAGATGAGAGAGGGCAATGTGGCGAGTGTGCATGCATGCAATGCAATGCAATGGCCACATCTAAGGGCAGGCAGATGAAAAGCACGGGGAGGAAAAGTTGGGCCTAAACCTGTCGAGCCCTATCTAGCACGGGCCCCCGTCCAACCTACTCGTGAGCAGCATGTTACATAGGTTACTTCAAAAGTGAGTGGCTCGAGCGAGGGCCTAAGGCGATGAGGCGTGACTGGACTAGACCACCGGGCGAGGGGCGTTTTGGTCCTTCCACGCTCCACCCCCTGCGTTATGAGAGAAGACTTGTGTGATGGGGCTGTGCCCCTATGCCTGGCTGGTTTTGGGAACTCTTGTACTGTGCGCCTCCGATCCATGCCTGTGAGTGTGCAGTGTGTTGATTAGTCCAGTTTGCATGAGCGGAAATTTCACTGCCACTGCCTGCGGTACATGGCATGCATGCAGCAGCTACCATTTGGACTAGTATCAATTCGTCAAGAAGATATGTAATGGCGGCCCATTTGCGCCTTCTGACCCTTCATCTATATATGTGTGCTGCCCTAGCCTTAAATGGTCTTTCCCTGCTCTTTACTTCTTTGGCATGCCGTTCTTACATGCCCACATGCACCCTTCGGGAAACCAATTTACCTCTGCGACTGCATCACTTTTTTTGCGACTTTGTATATATACAGAAAGCAATGTGTCCGCGTGCATTCATTCATTCTGCTTTGGCAGAAAGGTCGAGATTTGGGATCGCCCTGTGTGTGCCCTGCCAATTGCCAAAGAGAAAGACGAGGAGCAAAGGGCTGCAAGAAGGAAGCTCAGGCTCGAGGACATGCACATTATTGGGCAGCCTCCCTTCCCTGAAAAGATTGCAGATGTAATTTAAGCAGAGTGGGTGGCCTTTCCGTATTTATCAGCGTCCAACAAAGCTTTGTGGCAAATTAAGGGCAGGCCGGTGATCTGATGCATGCATATATAGTCTGCTCACTCTGACTCTGGTTTAGTTCCTTCCTGCTATCTTCTGCAGGCTTTGTTCGGTTGAGGTGGTTTTTGAAGGGGAATGGCAGGGTTTTTGAGGGGGATTAGATCCCCTACAAGCCAAAATCCTCTCCAATCCATTCCAATCCCCCTGGAAGGAGGATTAAACGAACAAGGCCGCACTGGTTTTTACATTTACGGTGGTTTTATCTAGCACATGTTTCAACTTAATTGCCACCCCGCTCCGTCAGTCCCACAGCAAGGTAAAAGGAAGCCGATCATTGATCTCTCGAGGCTAAGGTAGTGTGTTCGCTGCCGAAAGACTGACGCGATAGCGGAAAAGGGGATCGCGCAGTGTGAGATAGGATCGAGCATGGAGTGGACTGGTGCAGCACATTGCGATGCATGGGCCATGCAGAGGGTCGAATGCAGGAAAGCGACAGCGCTTAGCATGCATGCGCCACCGTACGTAGCTCACGCGATCGACTCCGCCGATTCCCTGGTCGACCGGTGGTGAACTGGTGATCGAAGCGTGCACCACACGCGGGCCATGCGCACGTCGACCCTGGCCCGTAATACCACTAATGCGGCGGGCCCAGCGCGGCATGTCACGGCATGCAAGTACGTGTCCACCGCGGGGGAAAAGGGAAGAGGAGAACAATCATGTACCACGTACACGTCCGTCCGGTCCGGCCGGCCGGCCGGGCTGTGGCGTCTCTGTGCCGGATGTGATTATGGGAAGACAGTGCACGTACGTACGTGCGCTTTTCGCGGAATATGTGTATTAGGAGTGTATAGTACCGCTCCCAATACCTACGATTATCAAGTTGGTGTGGCGAGTTATTAAAAGAAAAAACAAGACTTTAATTTTCCTCTTGTACTGCACAGTGCACTGCAGTAGTCATACGTACACTCACAATCACACATTGGTAGGCAGTACATGGATGAGTAAAGTCTGTTTTAAATCCTAAGGCTGGTCATAGTGGGAAGTATCATATACTAGTATCATCCATATGATATTAGTGTATGATACTACATTCATAGTGCATAGTAACATAGATTAGTATCATAGTTGGTCACATTTATTGCCATGCATGACACATAGTAGCATAACATTTATTATGTTACGGTATCTACCTATATTACTATAACCATCTCTCTCTTCTTTAATTGACTGCCACATAAGCATGTTTGTGAGTCCCAAGTGCATGTTACTACTTATGTTACCCCCACTATGGCCAGCCTAAATTTCTTGAGGCGGTCGGAATCTATCCCTGAAATCTACGCCTTGAACTTACCGAATTCGGTCATTTCCGGTCGTTGGGTGTCAAAATCTTGTTTCAAACTCATGGTCGTTGATTTGCGGTAGTGGATCGTAGTATTGCTGACGTGGCCTGGCTGTTTGGCATCATGGTGGTGTTGACAGCAGTTGAGCATGGTAAGGTCAATGCGTTGATCCTTTCTAAATATGAAACAACGAAAGATGACGGCGACAGATTCTAAAGCGCGTCTGCTAGACCGATTGGTGCTCTCGGCTCATCGTGGGGCGGCTTGGCGAGGCCACCGAATTAGATGATGCATATTGATGCGAGGTCAGAATACATCACCAAGGTTGTAGGTGTAGCGACAGAGGTCACCAGGAAGATGACTTTGTGCTGATCCATGTATTTGTTCCAACAGACTCTGCTAAATAATATAATAAAGATGACTATGTTCATCTCTTGATATAGAGGCGAGGGTTATCCTCCTTCGTGAAAAATAATGAAAAATAGAGTTTCTTAATGCATCGCAACATTTTACCATGGCAAAATTGTTGTCTACAACATTTGTACCATGTAAGTTTGTTTGTATGTAACAAGGTAAAAAAATTTCTCGAAATTGCCATGGGCTACCTCATTTCTTTCCCCTAAAATTTCATGTCATTATTACAAAATATTACTGCCCCTGATTCATAACAAGTGTAGCAATTTCAAACTAACCCTAGTTCAGAACTGCGAGGCTTATCGAAGAGAGTATTAATTTTGCCATATCAAAGTACAAATTTTCTTCATTTTGTCGATGCACATACATCTAAAATTTCTGAATTTGCAAATGGCTTATCAGGCCATTGGGTCATGCTGGAGCCTGGAGGGTTGATCGAGCCCCACCGGAGGAATGGCCGTCGGTTTAATGATCCCTCGGGAGCTGACGCCCGCGTGTTATGCTAGTATTATTTTGGGATAGGCTAGGGGTAAATTGACTAAAAATTCTATTTGGGTCAATCGACCTATTTTAGTCGTCCGATGCAAAATAAGTGGTTCAGATTGCTTCTTCAATCTCATGCCCCCGCCTCCTTCTTCTTCCGCAACACCCCAACCACCTAACGTGCCGGCTGGACCACCAGCCACCACCACCCACGGTCGGCAACGCTACCGCGTCAGCCTCTCGCTGCCCCGCCCCGCCCTCTCCTCAACCTCCTACCACCAGCATGCTACCATCACCCCGCTCTCCCCTCAACGTACCCCCACCGCCACCCCCGACCATTCCTCTAA